TGTTTTAGAGCTACATCAAGGGATGTGGAGACTCTTGTATCTAAAGGTAGTCGATGAAGAGGCAGATTGAGAGTTAGATTTAGTAATGCGACATGTTACTACTGCAAAAGGAAAGAACATATTCGGAAGGATTGCGATATGTTGCAGACTAAAGATGATTTGGCTGCAAATTGTGGGGGTGCAACCTTTGAATTCAGACGAAACTAATGTAGTTGAGAATTGTTCATATAGCGAATAGGTGATGTTGACCATGGTATCTGATGAAAAGTCTGGGCCTGACAAGCAATAGATTCTTGATTCAGTATGTTTGTACCATATGTGTTCCTATAGAAATTTATTTTAAACATATGAGGCTATTCTGTAAGGTGGAGTTATAATGAGAAACAATCAATCTTATCGTATTGCTGGAATCGATCGAGTCAGATTGAGGCTGCGAGATGAAACATTTAGAATAATTGATCAGGTTCGAGAAGTTCTTAACCTAAAAAGGAATCTCATTTCGCTGATGACCATGGATGTAAAAGGGTATAAATTCTCTAGAGGATGTAAAGTTTTGAAGATACGAAAGGGAGTCCGGTTGTATTGAAGGGACTGAAAAGATCCCAGTTGTACATTTTGCACAAAAGTGAAGAACCTGTTAGGAGATATTTGGACAAGTTTAGTACCGTGGTGGAAGTTTAGTTTGGTACAGTACCTCTTGGGCTGGGATCTGAGTCGGTTCAGATCACTGCTAGGAAGAGCATTGGTGATCCCGCTTTGCCATCAATTTTAGTGGGTACACCGTATTTAGTTGTTGGGGTAGGACTCATTGAGCGTAGATACAGTGGTGTCAATAATGTTTAGGATGTTTTTGGGAATGTTGAAGGAGATAGTTCCAGCAAGGGACCCTCTGATCAAGTATTTGGTTTGGTTCTTGCTAGAGGGTGTGCTTTGGCCCAGTGTAATCAACATTAATTTCTTGGTGGAATTGGTAACCCTTGGGATTGGGTTCGGGCGTCGGTTGTGAACTCCGAGTAGATGATGAGTGTTTGGTTTATATAGAGAGGTTACTATGTTGATGAGATTCAAACGTTAATTTCGATGTAAATGGATTTGAAATTTATGAGTTTCGTTCGTAGTACTGGAATTTGAGTCAAATTGAAGATTGTTAGGTTTGGTGACTCAAATGTGTTATGATTATCGTTGATTTAGAATTTGATCAAGTAGAATCCTAAAAGTTGGTTAGGAGTCTTTTGAAGATGCATGTTATACTTTTACTTCGAAAGAGAATCTAATTGTGTTCAACAAAAGGAAACAAAATCTTGTTGAAATTGAGTCTCCTAATTGTAATATATTTTCTTGTCTTTTAGAACTCTTCTATGGTTGGCCTATAAATACAAGACTCATCTGTCAATTTTATGAAATGTAACAGATAGAAGCCAATTGTTAGATTGTTTTGTATTCTCCATATTGTTAAATTAATAAACGTCGTCATTTGTTATTAATCATTTGTGTTTTCTTTACAATTAAATATTGTTTCGTGGTGTGATCTTGTTTACTTCAATATTGTCATATGATCTCGTTCATTAAAGTCCGATTTGGAATCTACGTGTATTATTGGAGTTTTCGCGCCCAACATTTAATTAGTACCAAATTCATTAAATAATCCATTTAATAATCCAAAATTAGATATTGATATAAATTTGTCTTGACATGGTCAAACTTCAATCATGGCAGCTGGCTGAACAGTGACTGGAGAATTGTAAAATACAGTTGAAAATGAAATCGATAATTTTCTTTTATTTCGTCTTGCAAATTAAAATAATTAATAATAAAAATTAATCAATTATTTATAATATTTTCTTACAACGCTAATCCGTTCAGATGAAATCTTATTTTTTCCAAAGCATAATTAGCAAATGAATAGCCCTGTTTCTTTAGCATAAGGCTGTGCCGAGCCAGATCTTTTAGGACGCACTACTGGATCCATTCGACACCACTAAATAAATTGCAGCCAAAAATGAAAAATTCGTATAGAAAATTTTCTCAAACTAAGTAATTACTTAATTTACGTTTAATTTGAGAGGCTTAGGTTGGACCATAGTTCTTCTTTTCCACAGATTAATTTCCTTTCTCGGCTCCAACGCCACCATGGAGCCACCACCGGCCACCATTATCGGCGCTGAGAACGGAATTATACCCTCTTCATCTGAATCAAATTCTCCCTGTTCCGGTGCAATCTGTGTTTTTGTCCAATCAAAATTAGCTAAAGTATCCCTAGTGCTTGCAAATCTCTTCATCTGGCTCAAACAGGGAGCTCGATCAGGCAGAGGGGGCTTATTATAATCAACTGATGCATCAGATTTTCTTCCGGCGGCCGGCTTGAAAATATTCCTAATTCTTGATGGATTTTTCTTCAGCTGCGGTGCCGGCGGTGGAGCCAAGGCGGGCTTGAATCCCTTAGGCAAAGAGAGGTGCTTTTTGCTTAATTTTTTCTTGTGCTTGATTTGTCCCATGCATGAAACCTTTGGTGAAGTTGGTTCTTGTGTCTCAAAGTTTGAGTTCTTCGATCTCCGGCGAGCCTCCGCCGGAATCATCGAAACGGAAAACCTTGGTTTGAGCTTGTCTTTGCCGGGGCTGAAAGGAGGGTTTTGAAATGAAACTGCTGCTTGAGCTGCTTTCGGTAGAAACTTCAAGATTTTGTTCTTTGATTTAGTGGACAGAGGATTCTCCATTGAACTGTCTTTCTTTCTCGCTTGCACAAAACCTCTCTGAATATATATACAAAGACACACACATAATACACACCCGTGTGCAGTGTGTATATAACGTGCATGTATGACGGAAGAAGAGCACACGAAGTATCATAATAGTGTTGCGAAATTGACTTTTCATAAAATGTGGGAAAATTGCACAATGATCCTTAATATATTGCTCCAATATCAAGTTGATCCCTAAAGTTTGATGAAAATTGCACCATCAGGTATATATTAAATCGTCATATGAACTTGATATATCCAACTAAAAGATATTTTCCAGAAATTTAAAGTGAGACGTGTACTTATAAGTGTGAAGGGCTACACAAAGATCTTACGAAAATTGGATAATATTTGTCGTTGACGATTAATGGTGCAACTCTAGCAAAAACTTTAACTACTATTTTTTATATATTTTTTTTTTCAATTTTAAAGGGTCGTAACCGAATTGCTTCTTTTTGAATATGTGAGTTTAAATTAATACATGAACAACAAGTTAGAGACTAAAAAGTAAAATATATAAAAATTCGAGTTAATTTGTACCTGCCAATATATATTTAATACTGCAAGGATTGATGCAAATTTCCATCTATTAGTCTGCATGGCTAATTAATTATTATTCATTCAAAAGTCTAAATCTCCGGCTTAATATATTCTTCATATTGAGACATACATACATGAAAATATGATTAAGAAAATTAAGCTATAATTTCTTGAAGTTTGCACGTGGTTTGCTAAGATAGAGATTAGAAAAATCAGAGTTTTACACAGCCTCGGGTCTGGGAGTCATTTTTGAAAATCAATTTTACTCGCACTTATTTTCCCTTTGAAAAGAAAGGACTAGATACCATAAATTATTCAATCAATAGACAGGCTGAGAACTTACAATTCATCTTGTGATTCATTCCTTTGATCGAACGTTCTTTAAACGTCAACTGACCTGTCACTCAATCACAAGTTGCTTGGGTTGAAAGTGAAAGTCGCCAAAATCTGGTGAACATCGGTCGAGCGCCATGAATGAATAAGAAATTGTCAGTAGAGGAAATCAATTATTCCTATTCGACTGAGTTCTAGCTAGCAACAACCAATTAGTCTTAGGGATTTTCACATTTTTACATAACTTTTGTCCTAAAAAATATCTTCCACATAAGCACGTAAAGTTTGAAATTTTTAGCTTGCTCTACTACACTAAAAAATGCTATATTGAATAAAAAATTAGCTTCTATTCTTGATTTATTAAAGTTCAAATATTTCAGTTATATTCAATATTGTGTATTAAAAATGCATACAAGTCAAGATTACGAAATATATGAAAATACTAAATAGTCGTTTGATTTATATTAATTTATGTCAATATACAATTCATAAACAAAAAAAATAGAATAAGAAGATTTACTCATCAACGAGCATTACTTTTTAATTTTAATTTTAATTTTTATTTTTTGTGCAAACAGAATATTTGTGTAACGAAATAATTTAACTCTTTAAATATTGTTGTGAAGACAAGAGAGTGAGGACGGTATTGGCATTTTCGTGCATGGATGCTACTCTTTGGCATCATGCCTTTGGCAACATCAACCACTTTACACGCTAACAAATTTTGTTATTTGATAATTAAAAATTAGCACAGTATTTTCTTCAACTATTTATAAGTCATTAACTTCATATTAAATATTCTAATATTAATATATAGGAATGGCTAGTTAAAAAAAATGTACGTCGAAACATGTACTTTTAAGCTATTTTGACAGAAAGTGGTTGACAGATAGAGTGACATATATGATTTGACAAGATGTGATTGGAATTATTTATGACCTTAAAAGTGAAGAAAATAGGCATATATAATACACTTTTTTTTTTCTTTTTTTCTTTTTTTTATTATGTGGCGTATGGCCGGTTGGTTGAGAGGAAGAAATAGACAACCAATTCCATAAAGAAAGGGATCTGTTTGTATAATTTACTTTGTCTTTGTTTGTCATGGATTGTTATATATGTGTTATTGGTGGCCAAACCCTATTTAATTTTTAGGAGGGATTACTATTTTATCGTGCTAGACTACCCAACAAACAATTACAGAGAGAAAAATGGGAACGGAAATAGACAAGACTTTCTTGAGATAAGGGTACAAAGAATTGCCAAAAAATATTTTCATTAGCAAAATTGTTGCACAAAAAAGTATAAGGGTATTGTAGTTTGAGTAATCTCTCATATTCATGATACTTCTTTCTTCATTAGCGAATAGTAATCTAAAACATATCAAATGGATAAACTTTATATAACTACTATCAAACCAACTTATATCCGTCGAAAACCATTTTTTATGGTATGGGTTATATCTACGTACCACAATTGGAGTAAAAGTGCATAAAATAAACAATTCTCATAAGTACCAAATAGAATTCACCATCCACTAAACACGTATTAGAGTTGACCAACTGATATAGTCATGAAGTTCAAATGATGTAAGGACGTTGCAGCTTATCATAACCCTAACATAGTGACACTTCCAATAAGGTATATGTCTTGACTACGACAATGAGGCATCGCTTCCTCTCAATGCAAATCATGCATATATATTATGTAAAATAATGCTACAAAATGGAAATGGTCAACTATTGTAAGATATATTCAATCATCATGATAATGAATATTTGAGTTAAACCTAAAAAATAAATCTTTGCGTAAAAGTTAATCTATTTTATCTATGATATACGTGGTTATCGAGATATACATTGGATATTGAAAATGTATATTCCATTTCAGTGTTAAATTAAAATTTATTGCAAATCAGAAAAAAAAAATAAAAATACCAAGGTTTACGTAATTATGTAATTCCCTTTATATTTATATTTAGGTGTATAGAAAAGAAATGTGATAATCTAACTTTTCTATGAACGAGGATTGAAAAGGGGAGTATACAGACCCGTTTGAGCCTCACTATTTCTCATTACATTAAATTAAATTTTTTTCTCCTACTTTTAACCACGCAATCTTCAATAAAATAATATTACACGTAAATCAAAAAAATTTCAACCGCTCATTTTTCAAAAAAAATACTATTCATCTCATTATAATGTCAAATAATGGGGCTCAAACCCACCCACAGATTACGGAACGATAAACAAATTATTCGACTATCAATTAAACTGGAATATGAATAAATTTTGATGTCGTCAATCAAATCAAAAATAGACGAAAAGTTAATTATTCAATTGTTAATTTAATTAAATCTAGAATAAGACGATATGACATGACCAGTCTAATTTACAGTAGCATACAATTGATTTAATTTAGAATGTGAATATGAAACAAAATATACAGTTATCAATATATTACATCTGTCAACATTAATGTAAAATTCAACAATGATTCACAATCACGATTTGTGTATGTTGGATTTTGATACTCAATAAATCTCGAATGATAATTTAAAATAGACGTCGGATAATTTATCGACACCACGATGCTTGACTCTACTCGAAAACAACTAATGCACTTTGGTGTTTGACCCAACTGTGTTTAGGTTTTAGTTGTGGTATATCAACCTTCTTTGAATTGGCTTCATTCTTAGGTTTTTAAGTGGATTGAACTAGCCCAATTTGGGCGCGGGTGTGCAATGGAGAGATGAATGAAGGGGGCAACCGGTTTTGGGGGAATTTAAGAGAGATTCTCACCACTGTTGTTCATCATTTTTTCCCCATTGTAGTCACCACCTTGTGTCCTTTGTGGGTACTAAATAGAGAGCAACTGGAGGAGGTAAAGAGGGCAACCATAGTGTTTGAGAGTTTTGGATCAAGCATGTTTCGATGGTGATTGTTTGGTTGATTTTTCTGAGCTCAAATAAAGATTTCTAGAAAAATTTTGCGACAGTGTATATATATTTAGTCGAGATGTTTTTTCTTTCGATTTGGATCACATGTACCATGGGGCCGAATATGCACCACCTAGAAAGCAAGAGCCATGTATCTAAATTGTAATTCGTACGGTTTTACATATGGTAGCAACCCTTGGCGGAGCCAGCACCTGACAAGCAAACGCAGCCATCTGTGCTGGCTCAGCCGGAATTTACAGTCGCCGTTGGGAGCCAACCAGCTTGGTAGGAGGAAGCTTGAATCAATTCGCAGAGGTCGAGATTCAACCGTGGAAGAAGAAAGGAAGACGACACCGGTGCTTGAATATGGGCCTTTTCAAGTTTTGTGCCTCTTGTTTTTAAAAAACTTAGGCCCGAAATCCAATTCATTGGTTTTGTGGACGTGGTTTCAATTGAAGCCCTGTGAATCCGTAACTGTTGCTACGGTCGGTCCAGTCTCCTGTTAGTCCGCCTCTCTCTATCTCTCTCTGTTTTTTTTTTTTTTTCTCATTTTTAGATCTATCATTTATGAGTTATGATTTATGATTTATGTTTTATGACTTATGACTGTGAATTGTGATTTGTTATAAATAATTCAATTATCATTTATGAGTTTTGTTTTGTGATTTAGGAATCTATGGAACATACCTAAATAAATAAAAAATATATATCATACATGTTGACCTCAAAATATGTTGTCAACAGATACCAGATCCATTCGCCCATACGTAATCTAAGACTCTAAGACACGTGAACGGGCAGATTAAGGGCATGGGAGCGGCTCAAAGGCTCGGGACGACAACGTTTAAAATCCGACAAGACATTTGTATAACGATTGTAAAATAATTACCAATCACGATTTGTTGAATATGTATGTGAACTCGTATATATTGCAAGAGAGTAAAATGTGTTGTGTATGTTCTTGTATTGAATCTTGCATTAGTCTTTACATGGGTGCATGGGGGAGTATTTATAGTAATACAAGTTGAATAGTGGCCATCGGTTAGGAGTACACGTGGCCTTATCTTATTAGTTTACATGTCACATTCTAGACATCACGTTTGACTACTTAACCTGCTATACATTTATTAATTGTCAAAGTCGTCGTAATGCAAGACAAGTCAATACACTTGCAATCTATGATGAGTGTCCCGTCAATTATTCAAAGAGGATTCTTGTGTAAGACT